CAAACAAAACCTTCCCCAATTCCAATGACTCTTATTTAGATCTGTTCTAAATAAATTCAGAAAAAATATGAATTTATAGACCACAGTTCAAGAACGGTACACATTTCTCCCTCCAGATAATGGAGCTGATGCAGAAAACATTTTTAGGATGAGAACTTTCAACTTTCTGACTTTGGTCTGTGATAGAAAAGTTTGGACGCCTCAGACTAAAGTGGCCAACAGCTTGTTGAGCAGCTCTGTCCTGTTACTTCATACACTGTTCATATTTATTTCAGCTGACAGTTACTCTGTCTGGTTTCAGATGCTATGCAGGTAGAAAGAATTTTGCACTTTTTATTTTACTTTTGGAAACCATGGCAACAAGGTATTGTTTATACAACTGACAGCAGGTGATTGAACTTTGACCCCAGTTCCTAAAGGAGGAAGGGAAGAGAACCAAAAAACAGTGAGAGAAGGAGGAAGTTCAAACCATCAGGAATCACATCCTCAACTACAACATCTTTCTACCTACAGCCGGATGGAGATTTAAGAGGAGTGGCAAAAGCAAAGGACATGGATTAGCAGCTTAGCAACAACTGATTGTGTTAACCAGGACATGTTACTGTGAAATGTCATGTCTGTTGCCCAGAAATTGAACTGATAGCATATCATGACAGTCATGAAACTGAGCAACAGAGTCTTCAGTCAGAGGCCTCTTCAGATTCGTTGTGAGACTGACTGCTACCAGAGATCCTTCCTGATCCTTCCAGCATCACCATCCACAACGCCTCTCTGAAGATACATGGATCATTTGAGTTATGACAATTAATTTTCCTTTGGGGGTTGATAGCTGGTTGTTGAATTAAACTAAATTATTCTAGTCAACATCATTGATGACCTTGACTAACCGACTTCTGTCAGTTTTACTAAACAGATATTAAATTATGTTGTAGAGGATGATGTGTAATTCTGAAAATTTAAACCATTTAATGAGTTAAATATCTTGGTTAGACTTTCAGGGTGAAGTTCCTGTTTTCTGGTTGCTTTGAGGAAAGTATATTAAAATATTTAAATATTAAAATATACATTTTAAAATGTGAAAAAGTAACTTTACGCTTGAGTCTTCACATTTTACTTTAATTCTTACTTTTGCTTTCGCTCTTCTTTGAAGTAAATCCAAAAACCCACTTTTGGAATTTTCAGTCATGATTTTGGTCAAATATTTCTAAATCCAGTATCATTTATTCTTTCTAAATAGTTTTGACTCAATGTTAACCATATTTACCACAGATGCCAGAAAAATGTCTGAAAGCACCAAATAAAATGGCTGAATCAACTGTCACCAAGCTGGTTGTCAGCAAAGAGAAAGTATTTTTTTTATTTTCTTGAGGAATTGTGCAGGATTTTCCATCAGCTGTGAAGTTGCTGAACTCAGAATGCCTTTTTCTCCAGGGCCATTTCTCATCTCCTAATCCCTGCTCAGTCTCCTCCTCTACTGCTTAGAAAGCCGGGGCCAATCAAACACCTCACTGGGACGGTGATAGGGAGCTGGATGAACCAATTACTGCGGCAATGGCTAAAACCCTCCCAGCATACAGCCAAGTCACTAAGTCGGAGACTTGTTGCTCAGCGGGAAGCAAGTACGGGTGGATTAACGCTGCCACAAACAGGCACAAAGGCCAACATGGCAGGGGGCTGTGACCCCATGAGAAGGGGTCTGAAGCCCTCCATGCGGGCCTCATAAAACCTCCCATAACAAGGTGGAGCAGAGCTCCATCAGGCTGAGCTGACCAGCAACTTTACGCTGCATGGACTGCCGCTGCGATGCATTCGGGTGGTCATGACCCCGTCTCCATGGCGCTGAGAGGTTGACAAACCAAAAGTAAATCCTGGAGCTCAAACAGAGCAGACTTATATATAGACTCAGTCTGCTCTCTGCTTTAAACTCCTCTCTGCTCGAATAGAACGGGGCCATGTGTGAAGTCCATGACAAACAAATCTGTGTTTTTTGTGGCAACAGTACCAGCTGCACCTGCGCTGGATCAGGCTGATGTTAGGGCAACAAAATGGGGTCAATTCTCACACATACTGTCTACTGCAAATTTAGAAAGTTCAAAGATGTTTGCTTAAGTGAATCAGTTTTAAACTGCACTGCATCTGGAAGATGATGGCAGTCCAAAATTATAAAACTCAAACTATTACTTTGTCAGCAACATTGAAAGACAATTTAACATATTTTAACCATATTATTCATTCACTTAGTTTACAAACTAAATATTTAGTTAATAAGCTTTCTATTTAACGCCAAACTGAGTATTTAGCTACCTCACACCTAACTATATTTAGTTTGGAATTTAGAAATTTGTGGTTGAACTCTGAATTTTCCTAATAACTATATGGCTTTGACAAAATATTACTAATAATGTCTGTCATCTGTATTAAATGCCTCTCTTCAGTTTCAAAACCCTCATAGAGCCAGGAAGAACAAATGATAAAACTACTTTTATAACGGATACAAAAAGAGCCAAATGCTGTCTCAAAGCTTGAAATTTAGGTCTGTCTGTACTTTCGTTCTTTTTACAAAAATATGTTGTATTTTAGTTCATTTTGATGACAATATTTAAGAGAAAAAGTTAACCACAGTTTATCGTGAACCCATATCCCATATCGTTGTTTATGAGAAAAGAAAAAAATCTAAACAATAGAAAACAAACCTTACCCTGAAGATTTTGGAAACAGATTGCCTTTCTATTAATAAGGCAAATGTTTTAGATCTCGATCTGCAGATCCCTTTTCTAGAAATATCAGGTAAAAATGTAAAAGTCATAATAAAACTAGTTTTGCATTATAAAACTGAACTTTTATGACCTATGAATTTCCTCACTGTGGTGATTTCAACCCATTAGGGCAAAAGTTTGGACACCACTGATCAAAATGGTCAGATCATGATTTTACCCCAAAAAATAAATGTACAATTCAATGAAAAGTATTATTAATGATATCGGTGGAAGAGTTTCAAAATACATTTCTGCCAACGATATCAATAATTGTGGATAGTTTTGCACAACTTATGTGAGCTAGTTATTGCCAAACAAAAAAAAGGACATATATTTCTACACTTAAGTAACATTTCATCACTTTATTTTCATGTATATGAGAAAAAAATCCTTTTGAAATAATAGCTTTCATTCTGCTACAGTTAAACATTCGATTCAAATTTTTGATTTTGCGACATTTTATTTGTGATAATAAAAATCTGCAGACATTTTTCTCACAAATCACGTCTTTGTGACTCCACTTGTGCACGCCACACACCGCTCGCTGCGCTGCTCTCAGGAGACACAGATGACACCAGACAACAGAGCACTCTAAACAAATTGCCCTTTGGCTGACCTCAGGAGACCGAACATGTAAACAACCAGAGAGATGCTTATGTTACACATTCTCCCTCTGCCTAATGACCATCAGGAGATAAATTGGAGGGAGACACGGTTATATACAAGCTTTATATGCACAGATTGATGTGGAATGAATTAGGTGGAGCATCACACAAAGACTGTGTCCAAGAAAATGTTTAAACTGCTTAAAGACGAGATTTCCCTCTGGAGATCAGGTAAATGATTAGTTGTGACATTATTCTCATAGTTTAATAACTCAATACGCAAATTTAGTACATCCAAAGGTAAAGATACACACTTCTTTGTAAATGTTCAAACAAGAATATTTCCCCACTTGACAACATAACCAATTAATGAGTTTATTCACCATTTCTACTAATAAATACACAGAAAATTACAATTTGAAATAAATATCGTTCAAGCGAGAGTTAAAGTACAAACGTTAAAGACTCCTTTCTGAAAAAAGACGTTTTTTCGCTTAGTTGCTAAAGCCCTGATCTTATTACAGAACACTAACAGAAGTGTTGTGCACAACATTTGGTTCCACAATGTATGCTAGAGTTTGAAAGTGGCATGTAATTCTGAGGTGTGCTGGTGCTGTTCTGCAGAGCCAACAGGCTGAGAGCGATGAGCTGCAGACGCTCCGCGGTGAGCTGGGGCCTCATCTGTGACTGAGTGGGTGCTAGAACGCCAAGCAGAGAAGCACCAGGTCGCAGTAAAGGTTAACAAAATCAAGGCGGGGAATTTACGATCGTCCGTGCTTCACAAGCGATGTCGCCAGCAGCAAGAGAGGGAGTGTAAAAGACAAGAGTGGATGAGAGGATTATGGGGTGTGTGTGTGTGTGTGTGTGTGAGACTGTGTGCAGAACTCAATGTGTGTTTGTTTGCATTTGCCAGTGAGATTTTCTCCTAGTTTACAAGCAATACATTGTGACAGAATGATTAGGGACCTTTACTGCGACTAAGTGTTCATTTCACACACTGTTGGACTGCGTGCCCTCAGTTAACTGGCTGAACCCGAGACAACGCCGGCTTCAGAGGAGCTTCGGTACGGCGCTGTCTGTCTGTCTCTAAGGGTTGGTTAGTAGTAGTTAACCTTGGTTTTATCTGAGAAACAAACAAATTATGTCTCAACACTAAACCAGACAGTGGATGTCTGTCTGGTTTAGTAAAAATCCCCAAAAACCAAAGTTCTGATCATCTAACCAAGGATGAACTTCAGTTTCACATTTTAATGCACCAGATACTCTTCACCATGCCAGGGTGCTGAATTACATCGACAGTAAATGCTGCCTGGCGACGGAGCCACCAATGATGGGGAATTTCAAATAATTAAAACATGCTAAATGTTAAAGCATTTTGGATGGTTAATGAGCCAACAATGATTTTAAACAAAGTGGAGGGAGGAACTAACATCTAAAGTGACCACAGTCCACCAGTAACTACTTCATGAGATTTATTCAACCCTGGCTCAGTCACAAACACAACAAATGATTTTGTTTATTAGTAAACAAGATCATTGGTTGATTTATTAGACTGATGAAAGTTGTCAGTTATTTAAAGTAATGTCCCATTGGGTGTTTTTGTTCCATTATCAGATTTACACTGGGAGTAAAAGCACAGTTGGGTTTTAGAGTTTGGATTTTAATCAACATTTTACCAAACAAATATTCAAACAGAAACATGTTTTTAAAAAACTAATTTCACAGTTGGTGAAGAGAGGTATGAAAATCAATCTGATCAGTTAGCAATGATAAACTGATAAACTATGTTGGCCTGATAATAGTTAAAATCCTATTACTCCAGACCCCCTATAAAATTGACAATTTTATATTTTATATTCGGTATAATTTATAGCTCAACTATAATTATACCGTAGTATGCATTAATGGAAACCAATGGAAACCATCTTAACACTACCACAGAATCCAACGTCTACGGTCTCCTTGGTACCTTCATGTACCAAAGAGGAATAAAAAAACTTGTACTGGTTGGTGTTGGTCAACCAGAACCAATATTCTGGTTGACTTGTTTATACCACGTATGATGAAAAGAGTTCAGAAAAGGGTTTACAGCAAAAATGATTAAATGCTTTCCGAACCACATTTGTCAGGGTCTTAAAGCCAGACAGTGGCTATTGTACCTGATTGAATGTAGGTTTCCATGCATGTTGTAGAACAGATTCAGGTAGAAGTGTCCATAAGGGCTAAATGATCTATCAAAACATGAAAACCACTGAACCTAGCTGAAACTCAAACTCACTCACTGAAATACCACCAAGGTTTTCTCACAGTACCTTCACACAAGACTGATGTGTTCATAACAAACCATTTAAAAACTTTCATTATTTAACTTGGACCAGCGGATACAGACGGGTGATAATGTTAAAAATACACACATCACCGACACACACACAATGAAGCTCAAACTGTACAGATAAGATGTCTTTCCTGTGTCTTGCAGCCACCTATAAGTGGAATTGAGCCCCTCGATTTTAAGAGACAACGTAGTGATAGGACACTTCATCACGGGGAAAGGTCCTCCCCCACTCCGATAGCTCCAGTTTGTCTGGAAGAAGTTATGCTTTGTGATAGTCTGGCAGAATCATGGATTTGTCTCCTTGAACCAGTTGGAACACATACAGTGTATCAAGTTTTAGCAGCATATGGCTTTAATTTGACCCCCTAAAACCTGCTTTCATTTCTCTTGATGAATGCCAAGGAGTTCAAAAGTTATTATTCTATGCATTATCAGAGAAACAACACAACATAATTTGCAGATTTTCAGCCGAGGGAACCGTTTAGGGTTCATGGGTTTCCTGCTGGCTCCTCACAGGCATCGTTTTGTTGCTCCATGTGTTAACACATTCATCATTCTCACATTTAATAACACAAAGCATTGAATTTCCTTTTTTTTTTTCTACAAAGTTACTCTTAGGCTTGATTCGCAGTGGGCATCCGTCTGCCTGTCCGCGTCACCCACTGTGTGGATGAAGGCTGATCTAATTCAAGCATCGCTCTGTTTCCACTGTGCCGTGGCGATGGGTGGGTGGGGGGAGTCCACAGCTGATGGATCCACTCTGGGCTTGGCACCGTCCGTTTTTTTCCCCGAACGTCGCCCACTGGCTTCTGTTGAAGTTCCATTCAGAGAGCATATTTGCTGGATGACAGCACAGTCTGTGTATCGTTTGGTGAATACGTTGTCGTCAGCAGCTCCTCACACTGGCATAAATCCACGGTCAACAGTTAGTCTCGACTAGGTCAAGTGATTTATACACAGGGGCACGCAGACTTACTTTTGCTCGTCTCTCCACAGACTGCTGCAGAGAGGCATGTTCAAACACACATCTACCTCGCAGCTTCCCAGGGCAAACGATGGAAACCTGTTACTGTATCCTCGAGGGCCGTAATGGGAGTCTTGTTTAAAGTACAGAGGAATCTGGTCTGGAGGTCACTTCTGAGGAAATGCAGAGCCCAAGGGAGTGAGTGCTAGGAGTTTTCCTCTTCATGTAGGAGGAGGAGGTGGTACGCACAGACACTCTTATTCTCACACATGCATGCATTCAGCATGTAGGCAGAAAGCTGCAGGCAGGAGAAGATGAAGTGCAAAGTGGGTTGGTGGTACTTGACCGTAATCTCTGGAATAGAAGTGAGAAGCTGCAGTGTGTCTTCGAGGATCATAGCACAGTTTCAACGTTTTCATCAGAAACAAACTTTACTGCGTTTTATGTGTCACAGCAACAGAAAGTATAGAAGAGGGATGGCATGTGGCTCAGTGTTGGAGAAGGTTCACCCAGATGAGGTTTGCCCCTCAACGCAGCTGCCCTGGGTTCGACTCCCACCTTTGGGTCATGTGCTGCATGTCTTCCAGTCTCTCTGCCCTACTTCCTGTCAGGCTGCTGATGAATAAAGGACGCCAGTCAATCAATCAATCGACACTAGTGCTAGAAAAAGAGTGGAGCAGAATTGTGATAATTCAGTTTTCAACAATGTTTTAAAATTAAAAATCTGAAAAGTGTGTGCTGATTCTGGTTTTAAGGAAGTTTCTGTGGAACATAACTCCAAATTATTTGTAGAAAATCCACCTATTTGAGGATTTTTTCACAGAACATAACTAAAACAGTCAAAAGACAATGTAGCTTGAGAAGCTGAAATACTATTGTACATTTCCAACGCAGCCAAAACAAGCTGCATTCATCATTTTTACCATTTATTATTTTACTTCACAATTGTAGTTTACTTTGTTTTGGTAAATTAAACAAACAAACAACCTGAAAAATGTACAAAATTTAAAGGGTTTGAATACTTTATTAAGGCACTTCATATATAACAGCTATGGTCAATCCCTGGAAGTGCATTATAATATTCCATAGAGGCACATTTCATATGAGTCAATTGCATTCCCAAGGCCAGGCTGGTGTTAAATGCTTCGCCTGCCACAGTTGCATTACACACTGGACAATTTGATGTGACATTTCATCAATAAAAGGGTCAACATCTGCACCATAACTCTCACAGGAGTTTTAGAAACTACAATAACAACAATATATGGACACATTCTGGGCAAAATCTGGATTTGCAGCGTTCCTCAAAGCTGAAAGACAAGCAGCCTGGCAGAACTATTAGAAATCTGTCAAAGTCACATCACTGCAGGGAAAAAGTCTGATCCTATTGATATTGCCTACTGTCTAGACTTTGAAAAATACATCTGACAGCTGCTTGTCTTAGCCATAGCCCCATAGTGTCCCTGTTGTACATCATCAGACTTCAACAATATTGACTTCTGTTGAGGAGATTAGCTGTCAAGCTTTTATTTTGTTAAGGGATCAAGGTCCTTCATGTTCTTACCTAAATATAACTTTACTCCATTGCAGGATTGAAATTGCTGGTGCAGGTGGTATTTCATTTATAAGAGCCCAGAATGCCTTGGCTTGACCACTGGGCTTTGGGGGGATTATGTCGTGAATTTGTGTTTTACAGCAGCTGTTAGTGAGAAATCACCAGGGGTCTAAAAGTGGATATGAATGCCCACAAATTGGGCCCTATGCTCACTTTCAGTTTTTACTTTTCTGAAACTCCCCATTAAGCTGTTCATTTTGAACACTGCCTGCCTATTTGAAGCAACTAGTTACATGTCAAATGTTTGGATAGTGAGGGAATGGAAAAAAGAATGCAACACCAGAAGAGCACAACGGGATAGGGGCTGTATCATACTACACCCAAAATTAAACGTCCTTAGCCCTGTCTCTGAGAGCACCGAGTTAATCGTGTTCATGTCTACATTAATAAGGATCTTCTGCAAGACAACTATGCAACACCTCTTTGGTCACTGGAGATATTGATTTATGAGGGGGACGGGGGCACAATTGATGAACTGTTAATGCCTACTTGGATGCTTGGATTGCTGCTGCCATTAAAATGAGACAAGCAAATGAGACCAGGCTGAAAATGTCACCTGGGTGCACAACCTTTTACGCCCCAGAGCCCTTCTCAGAAGTGTAAACTCTATCTTACACACCTCTGACCACTTCCATCGATGGCTTACGGCAGAATCCTGCCAGCAACACAAACCTCTCAACACTTTGCTGTAAATCAAATAGCTATCTAAAGCAGCGGGACTCGTCGTTACAGAGCTGGACGGCAGCAAGTGGGAAATCCCCAGCACTTGGAGGTCCAACAAGATCCGAGGGGGTCACAAGCCTCCGCTGGAACATGGTGTGCCGTAAGAGAGGAAGCCTATCCCCCCTTCAGCCAGATTAAGCCTTGTTGACAGAGAGTCAATAATTAATTCAATAACATATGTATTTGGAAATTAATAGTGGGTTTAATGTGAAATTATTCAAGTGCTGCAGAGTTTCTGGCTCTGATTACGTCCTAATGTAGGTATTAAAAACACGTAAGCAAATGTTTATTACTGAAAACAGGGATGAAGAACAGGAAGTATTGAGCTAGAAATGCACCAATAATTTATCTGGTGACTGGAACCAGCCCATTTTCACCTTTATTGGCTCTTATTGATGATCGGCCAGTCAGAAAGTGAGAAATCCAACAATTTTCTAATCAGAGAAGGCTCTATATGTGATATGGAAAAAAGCAACACTGGGAGCGAGAGAGAGCCAGACTTTTAACATGATGACAAAATGTAGACAAAAACTGAAGGTTGGAAAAGCCACAAAATGCTAAAATGGTCATCTGGACTTTCCAAAGTCAGTCGTCTAGAGCCGGTACCTCAGATGTTTTAGTTCTTTCCCTGGGTCAATGTACCTGACTAAAATGAGGTGGGTGGATCATTCGAATGAGCTGGCAGGGACACCAGCTCGTCTGGTCACATATGATCTAGCTAAATGGGGGATTTTTAAACTAGAGCGAGCCTGTGTGGTTGACATCAAGCCCTCTGGATGTCAGGCAACTTGTCAAGGGTTTCATATATTTAGTTTTAATCACTAAATATATGTGTAAAACCCTGTTAATTTTATGACATTGATTTCCTTACGTGTGCCAGTTGGAGGACTTTATTACACCAAGTGTCTTCAGTCCCACTGAGGTAAATCTTTCAGACATGAGGCCTGTTGGGCCTTTGCTTTGTTTCTACACATGGAAGCTGCTCTTTCCTCCACCTTCTTCACACACACACACACACACACAGTCAGAGACACAGGTTCCCTCTGGGAAGCCCCTGTGAGTAATGAGACGCGCCTGTGTTCAGCGTCGCATCACTTAGTGTGACATGAACCTGCTTCACTATGTGTGATCGATCTATTTATTGCCCTGTTTATGTAAAGCCAAGCAAAGTCTCCTGACAGAATTTCATCAGGCTGAAATATCAATGGCCATCACTCACTTTTTATTGCTTTTTTCTTGTCCTTTTGCTTCCTCTGACATTTACCCTGTGACGTATGAAGGACAACATATGAGATGTGGAACATCAGGGGTGGATGTCACTCCTCTCCCTTTTAAATTTTATGTTTCCAGAAGACCAGAAGCCTTTTACAGGAACTCTGACAGTTACAAGGTAAAGTAAAACACCAAACTGCAACAGAATGCCAGGATTTTCATATTATTGTTCATATTGCGATGGTGCTGCATGTTCAGGACCTAACCTGCTATAAACTTCTCCAGAACCTTCTCCCTGACCTGCTGCTGGGTTCCTCTGTTTCCATGATCCTGATATTCTCTGAAGAAATCCTTTAGAGAACTGAAATTATGCTGAATTCATACATGATTAGCATGTTTGAGTGAGATCACATCTCAGGTCTATAAAGAGGAAGAAGAAAACTTACTATTTTGAAATACCTAATTATAAAATATAAGTTATATTGGTAACAGTAATAATACACAAAAAAATGTTGTACTTACACTTCCTGATCCAATAGTTCATTATTTTAGATATATCGATAACACTTTATTTGAAGGGGGTGAATAAGACTGACATGACACTGTCATAAACATGATATAACACCTGCCATGAACATGAATAAGCCTTCATGAATATTTATGACTGTTGTCATAAAGAGTCATTCAGTAAATTATGACACTTTTAATACAAAGTTGACATTATTCAAAATGTCTTTGTTATGACAACTTGACATTAACCAAAAAATCATTACTGGTATAAATTTGTTATAAAAGAATTACTGATTACACTTTAAAAATGAGGTAACTTTATGTTATTAAAGGTAAAGTTTAAACAGTAATGATTTCCTGGTTAATGTCAAGTTGTCATAACAAAGACATTTTGAATAATGTCAACTTTGTATTAAAAGTGTCATAATTTACCGAATGACGCTTTATGACAACAGTCATAAATATTCATGAAGACTTATTCATGTTCATGACAAGTGTTATGTCATGTTTATGACAGTGTCATGACAGTCTTATTCAACCCCCTTCAAATAAAGTGTTACCCAATTTGGTTTTGGTTTTGCAAGTCAGGCTTAAATGTGGCTTGTAAAA